TGCTGTACGTGGGGCACTAAAGTAATTATGTCGATTTCTGTTACAGAGAGCTTGTATTCCCTAACTTTGCCATATACTGGTGGTAGGACCTCTTGTGAGTCCGCACGAGTAGGTACCACCACCCTGCCTAGTTCTGCCGTGAAGCAGTAATGCGTATATCTCAAGGTGGGTGGCGCATTTACGTTGTGGATGTCTATGGGCTCCAGTAACCACTTAACACCAGGTGGGCTGTGAGCTCGTCCACCCATCTAAGCAATAAAAAAAAAAGCAATTCACGCATATCGTTAACTCTCTCTCTCTCTCAATACATAATATAATAGGGTTGCTTTTGTACAATTTTAAACAGCCACGTGTATCAGGAGGGAAGCGAGGTGTGTTTATTGTATCCCAGACTAGTTCGAATGTCCTTTGTGCATTCTCTTAAGGGAATCCCTTTTCCCTGCGTTCAAATATTCACGTGTGAACTTCGTTAAGTCAATTAAATAAACATACTCCTGGATTCACAATAAAGAATACTCCAGAGATTCATCGTACAGATTAAAATTGAGAATTGAGAAGGAAAACTATTTTTATAAGAAGACTAGCTAACCCGGCAGACTTCGTAGCGCCTCAATCGATAAATAAATGACCTAAGCTTTTGTATAAAATAAACTTAAAACAAACAAAAGGAATCCGTCTGACGGGGGACACATCAAAGGAAAAACAAAATCGTTATTTTTATTTAATTCCGAGCATTTTCATATTTATCTACCTTTTAAACCTTCTCTGGACTTCCACAAATAATTTAAGACCAAAATTAGCCAAATCGATCTAGCCGTTCTCGAGTTTTAGCGAGACTAACGAACAGCAATTCATTTATATATACCTATATATGTATAGAGTATAGATGTATAGATAAAAAAGAAGAAGAAGGAAGATAAAAAAGCCAACTATACTTAGACTGAAACAATAAATAAACTGCCAAGCATGAAGTATTTTCGGTTATCGAAAAAGAAAATACACGCGTAAAACTCAAACCCACTGAAGCTATTTATAATTAATTAAATAATTCAATTAAATGAATATTCATCGGTTTTTTTTTATTTGAAACTCATTTTTGACAAGATAGATACGGACGCAAATTTAAATAGCTCTAACGCTGGTTCGTTGTATAATTTAAAAACAACAAAAAAAACAATATCGGGTTTCACTGGTAGTCGATATACATACTCCTTAATAAATGATGCTCAATTGAACATTAAGCGGTAGGCAGCGGCTTGGCTCTGCCCCTGGCATTGCTGAAGTCCACGGGTGACGGTAACCACTCACCATCAAGTGGGCCGTATGCTCGTCTTCCTACAAGGGCAATAAAAAAAAACAAAAATAAAAAAAAAAACATCAAATTGATGAGCACGTACCGCGTTAGATATGTACTATGTGTACACACAATTATCTCTCTTACATATCAACGTTCCTTCCGCCGGCTTGAAGATATATTAGACGCGGCTATCAAAACACAACATTTCCTCATTCGCCATGAAAGGACGCCAGCTCAATAACTCTAGTATTAATTAAATGCTCCTCCGTCTTGTGTTGTAAGATTATTTACTTTTGTAATACGTTTATTTGTCTAGCTTCGTCATTCCAAACATTCGACATCAACTTTTTGGATTTTGGATTTATTTACTAACTTACTAATACTACAGTACTACCCGTATGCACCGTGCTGTAGTTTAACATTGTTATTGACACTGCTTTTGATTATATTTTCTAAGCTACTATGGAGAAAAAAAAACTAGCCTTGTGCTGTAACCATATGCGTATTTATTTACTTTTAAATATTTGTAGTTAATTAGGATTCGTCAATATTTGTTGATAGAAATTTGGAAATGTAATTTCACTTTCTCATGGTGTGTTTGAAAAATGATAAAAGAGAGAACACTCAATTGTAAGGTTCGTTGTAAAATAATTAAAATAAAATATATCATGTTAAAATTAAACAATTTTCGGATCGCCAAATAGCAACACTGTTGGTGGGAGCAACGGCAGTAGTGGGGACGGGATATAATAAAAAAGGCGGCAGGAAAAACGATGTATTCGGTAGTGAGAAATATCTAAAGATTGTAAAAGTGAAGTTACAAATAAAGCAATACAAATAACTAAGTAATCTGTGTATTTATTTCCTGGCTTTGGAAGCTAAGTCTACACAATGAAGTATAATGTTGGACTCAAATAAGCTTATCATAAGGCGTTTTGTGAGCTCGCTGAAGTAGGTACTAGTCCTGCCTAATTCTAGTCATAAGCCTTTCACACGTCTCTCTTAAATCGGCCAGTCTCATCTAAGAAACAAGATGTATCCAAAAGGGTGTATATTTCTATCGAATACGTAAATTGCCATTTCGTTTCATTTGCCGTTAGCAACCTGTAACATTATCATAACTTTGACACGCACACTCGTCCAGGGTCTAATTTACACCGCACGCATTTCATTAACCTAACTAATCTAGACTTGAGCGGTACTATGAATTCTCGATTTGAAATAACGCTATGAATGACGCTAAATAACGCCAAAGTGAAATTATTTTTGTAACGCACTTTTGGTTAAACTAGTTTAATAAGTATTCAAATATTCGTCTATCTACCTTACAGGTTTGTTATGAGACTAGACTAGACAGACTATATATATTTTTGATTGTAAAAACTTAGATCCATTTCTGTGTGAAAGAACAAAAATCTATATATATAGAAATGAATTGCTGTTCGTTAGTCTCGCTAAAACTCGAGAACGGCTGGACCAATTTGGCTAATTTTGGTCTTGAATTATTTGTGGAAGTCCAAGGAAGGTTTAAAAGGTAGATAAATATGAAAATGCTCGGAATTAAATAAAAATAACAATTTTGTTTTTCTTTTGATGTGTCCTCCATCGAAAGGATTCCTTTGGTTTGTTTTAAGTTTATTTTATACAAAAGTTTAGGTCTTTTATTTATCGATTGAGGCACTACGAAGTCTGTCGGGTCAGCTAGTTATAAATAAAATTTCATAGTATGATTTGTTACTATGTTCCAAGGCTTTATTAAAAATCATTCAGAATAACTTAAAATATGTGAATTACATACTGACTGACTGACTCACAAGTACTATGAACTTAACCTTGCCTGTAAAGCAGTGTACTGTGAAACTGGTACTTAGCATTCACGTCTCAAGGTGGGTGGCAGCACTTACGTTGTTGACGTTTATAGGCTCTACTAACCACTTAACACCAGGTGGGTCGTAAGCTCGTCCTCCTATCTAAGCAATAAAAAAAGCTGTGATGGAACAAAAGGAGTTTGACCAAAATTTTAAGGGCGCTAATGACATGTGAAGAATAAGTTTCCGTATAAAGAAAATCCAAGAACGAACATTCCGGTCTTGGATCTACTGAACTATAACAACCGCTCAGTGGGCGATCCCTTGTCTCTCCCCAAAGGGATTCCAAAATAAATGAACTAGTAACAACGCAAAAGCTACTCATTCTGACGGTAGTCGCCAATATTATGTATGTTACATACGTAGCCACGAGGTCTTAGTGGATCACAGAAAACCCTACATAGGGGCTGCGAGTGCTAAATGTTTATTAATATGTGATTGTTCTCATCCAGCATCTGGGATCTTTTCTCTATTTCTACCTCCAGCTCTTACCGTAAAAACGGGAACTGAAGTCAATGAACTACCAAACCTAAGAGTACTGTGAGTACTGTAGTTAGTTGTGTGTGAAATGGAAGTCTAGAAATATTTTTAAAGAAAACGATAGTTAATTATCGCAATGTCCTAATATCGAAGTATTCGAAACAACAATAATATATTGGCAATAAAAATAGTTTGTAATATTTTTTCGACTCAATATTCACTGGCAAAAACAAACAAAAGAAATCTGAACTTAGGTCAATCGTCAATTCTCTGAGTGCTTTTACCGTTATCAAGCCAAATACTTAACACCGGGCTGAAAACCCAATTGATTACCAATCTAGAGTGAATAATGTGAATACCTAGATTATATTATAATCTTTTTTCAACAAACAAAAGAAAACTTAATGTAGGGCAATCGAGTCGGAAACTTATAGTAGTGGCTCGTATCTAATCCACGCCAGGTGAAGCAGGCTAAAACATTGTGAGACCGTGATATGAGACACGTGTGCGAATGTTTGCATAATACATGAATTAGCCGGCGATTTATGCGAGCCAGTACCGCCGCCATAACCCGCCCGGCTATAAGATGGCCTAGCTTATACATCAAGGGTATTTGTTAACTCGTCGTTATGAATTTCACCGGTTTTAATTTTATCCGGGATTCGACGGTTTAATAAAGGCGGAACGGATACTTTGACGTAAGCTTTCACAGTTTAATATAAATACATATATAATATGTATATTTAAACACCGAATTTGTGGTTATTCAAAATACTTGAAAATCGGGGTTTACGTGTTAGTACTCATTGAAACTCTCTGTCTCTCTTTGTCTCCACCTTATCCCACTAGGTGGGGTCGGTATAGCGAATTTTTCTCTTCCACTCTCTTCTATCAGCCGTCATCTCAACACTCACCCCTCTCTCTCCCTCTCTCTCATATTGTCACTCACACACTCTATCCATTTCTTCTTCGGTCGACCTCCTCCCCCTTTACCTTGCACTACCATTTCCATACATCTCCTAGTCACATGCGTCTCCTTTCTAGGCATCACATGTCCAAACCACGCTAAGCGTCCGTGTTACTGTTAATTGAAATATTAATATATTTCTGATACTCAAAACACTTACTAATTTTGAACTTAAGGCCACAAATCTAGAATGCTTAATTTTTTTTAAAGTCCAATTTAAAGATAACTTCGACTTTATTTTAAAATCTTAAGCTACCAGTACCACATTTTACATGTTAATGCTAACAACAATAACGATATCAATACTGTAATATTGCGTGAAATAAAATTAGGCGTTTCTTCAGTTGTCGCCAGTGGAAGCTGAAATGATAATTGTTATTTGACTAACCTCATTCGTGTTCCATCGGTGTCGTTGGGCCGCGAAGTGCTCGGCGCGCGGTAGACTTTCAAGATTCTCCGGGAGTTTAATTGGTTCCCCATCTGCAAAGAATACAAAAACTCAGTAGGGATATTAAGCGAATTTCGGAATGAAGTTCCTTATGGAACGATGCGGAAGGGTACCCTAACCGGGAAAAAACGTCCGTAACGTACCTACGATTTTTATTAGTAACTAGCTGACCCGGCAGACTTCGTAGTGCCTCAAACGATAAATAAAAGACCTAAACTTTTGTATAAAATAAACTTAAAACAAACAAAAGGAATCATCGTCAAAGGAAAAACAAAATTGATATTTTTATTTAATTCCGAGCATTTTCATATTTATCTATTAAGAATTCTCTATCTATCTAATCTATTTAATTAAGAATCTTAACCGAGCGCAGTAACAGAAATGTACATGTATAAAACTTAAATCCGCTAACAAAACAATAAATTGAGTAAACGAAGTGAAAACTGTCCAGTTTTGGCAGCATTCGTCAAGAGCTGGAACGCGGGCTTCTGGCCGACGAACACGCAAGCTTAAATCAACCCTAACAACAACCGATAAGGTACAAACGAAAAGCAACAATAAATTCTGACCGAAAGCAATGAACTAACTTGTTGAAATTCCGTCGTCGTGCGCTTAACAATTGCGAAATTTTATATCTATCCGTCGTAGTTTTACGTGACCCTTGTGCGTTTGCGATAGGGTCGGGTTTCGTGTGTCCGCTTTTTAAGTGGGGGAAGAAAATAGGGGGAAATTCGCAAGGCAAGCTTTTCGGGAAGCGCCCGCTAATTTCGGCCCCAAAGCGGTTAACGGATAACGCTAGACTATTTTAGATTTTTAGTCTAGAGTTAAAGGAAGTTTTACGTGGAAGATAAACAATTTTATTCTCTGTCTACATTAAGGAACTGAACGAGGAAATAATGACTGGTTTAAATTTAACCTACTTCAAGTGAAAGGCGGTTCTCGATTCTGGACGATTTTTTCTGGGCACCATTTCCTATAATTTTTACACTAATAAAAATTTATTAAATTAAATTTATATAGTACATTGAGGTAGTCATATCTATGGGCTTGTAAGACCACTTTACACTAAACTGGGCGTAACCTGGTTAATTTATGCTCACAATACACTAAATATAAATATCCACTACATAAATACACTAGTCTTTTGGAAAAAAATACTTCTATGGTTCCGAAATTGTTTGTGAGAAGATCAAAACAAGGCGAACCCGAAACTCGCCACCCTACTTAGAAAAATAACAGTAATTCATGTTAATTTAATACAAAATAAATAAATTTTAATTCAAGATAAACTAATTAGGTATTAAACTCAGGTATGAATTTTGTATTCTTGCTTCGATAAATAGATTAGGAACGTGAATAAAACAGAAGAAATTTGACAGATGTCTGGTTCGCGCTAAAGACATTTACGCGATCAGTGCAAAACATAATGTAAATAAGTTTAAAAAAATTACATTTGGACGGTCGCCGCGTCGATCGGACTTGTAATTTCACCCGCTTAGTGGAAAATCTTCCCTTAACGTTTATCAATCAATAACGATTGATAATTTGATAGAATTCATGTTTTTAAATTTGATAGAATTCATGTTTTTAAAATTAAAAGTTTTGATATTACGTGAAACGCTTGTATATAGTCGATTTTATTTCCTACCTATGCTGATAGATAGCCTTGAGAGGCTATTTCAGCTTCGCCCTAACATGTAGGTGAGCTCACGGGGCTCAAACCGGAGTGTTGCTAACACTGGACCCAGCAAGAGCAATGCTTCGCAGAATCTACCACCGGATTGGAAACGCGACCCACTGAGAAGATCCGGAGAGAAACTCAGTGGGCTGTCTCTGTGGCTTAATTCGCTAGTCGAGCCCTTCGTCGCAAGTGACCGGTTTGACGAGAACGATGACCGGTGCTTGTGGTACCTAAAAGCGCCGTTAATGGGTCGGGAGGATCCGTAATGACGTGTTTTGGGCGACGTGGACAAGTAGTCGATAATCCTGGAATTATACTATGAGTTCATCCAGGTGTGTGTGTAAAGACTTTTCACGGCGATTGTACTTACAAGTTTACGCTCATAAATGCCACTTAAACTGGAGTAAAAGCTATCAAAAACAAATAATAAATATTTACTAACAATCACGCCACGTTAACTGGTCCCGTGCTTAGTTCGTAAAGAACTTGTGTTACCGGTACCAGATAACGGAAATAAATGTAAGATTTTTATTATACATATACGTACATATATTTAATATACGTCCATAACCCTGGAAAAGAAATTTTTATATTTATCATACAACTATCTTCCCTTGGCGGCCCCCTTGTGTAGTTTTTTTTATTTTATTTTTATTGCTTAGATGTGTGGACGAGCTCACAGCCCACCTGGTGTTAAGTGGTTACTGGAGCCCATAGACATCTACAACGTAAATGCGCCACACACCTTGAGATATAGTTCTAAGGTCTCAGTATAGTCACAACGGCTGCCCCACCCTTCAAACCGAAACGCATTACTGCTTCACGGCAGAAATAGGCGGGGCGGTGGTACCTACCCGTACGGACTCACAAGAGATTCTACCACCAGTAATTACGCAAATTATAATTTTGCGGGTTTGATTTTTATTGCACGATGTTATTCCTTCACCGTGGAAGTCAATCGTGAACATTTGCTGAGTACGTATTTCGTTAGAAAAATTGGCACCCGCCAGCGAGATTCGAACACCAGTGCATCGCTCGATACGAATGCACCGGTGTAGTGGTAAGTGATCATGTCACTTACCACTACACCAGACGGCCGTTATATAAATAAAATAATTAACTAATTACTAGAGTACAGGTCCCTTAAAATTGCATAATTCATTAACTGTTTAAATTTAATTTGATACAAGTAAATATAGAATAGTAAGTAACACCGTATGTGTGTGTGTCGTGTTTGACCCACTTTACGTTGAGACTGAATAAATTATGCAATGTGAGGCCCCTGACTCGGCTATATACATATATAATAAATAGCATCTTTGAAGATATAGTGACGGTATTAAAATGAGGATCTTTATAGACAGTGCTAGAATGTTCCGGAAATAGAAACTACCAAAAAAGCAATATAAAATGCAACAATCTTGTTTTCTAAACGAATGATAAAATAGTTATTTATGGTCTGCTATGCTTATAGTTTGGATCAACCAGTAATGGATTGTGAAGGTAGACGCAAAGCTGAGTCCTGTGAACTCATCTACACCCTCGGTGAACCTGGCATAAGCCCTAGAGGTTACCTGGATAAGTAGGCAAAGAAAAACAAAAAGGTAGATAACAGTCGCACTTTGCGCTCCCTCAAAACCACCCTACACGTCGACTTATATTTATTATCTTACATTGCGTGGTTGAAAAAATATTATTAAAATAAATATTAACAGATGCATATTGTCTGTGTTTACAAATATTGAGTGAGCAGTTTTCGTTTTGGAGAATTCGAATTCGCGAGCTGGTAATCACAAGACTCCCTAACACTAGTAATTCGCAAAAAATAGTAATATTTGCCCGTCCTTGCGTAGCTGAAATAGCCTCCTAGGCTACCAGCGAATGGGTAGGAAAAAAAGAAATTTTTGAGTTTGATTTTTATTACAGTCATTCGTGAATATTATTGATTTGTTATTTTTTTATTGCCCTTGTAGGCAGAGGAACATACGGCCCACCTGATGGTAAGTGGTTATCGTCGCCGATGGACTTCAGCAGAGCCAGGGGAAGAGCTAAGCAGCTGCCTACCGTTAAATTAAGTACAAAAACAATTGGTACCTACAGTACTGGTCGCATTACCAGTAGTCGCATTGCTCAATACAAATACAGCACTCTTATTATCCTTTATGCCACGACGACTTACAATATAAAAGAAAATAACAAAGTTTAAAAATAAAACAAAAAAAACACGCTTAAAGAGCAAACCAACAATTAATTTCATCTTTTTTATCCTATATCGATACTAGTCAGAATATTAGGCGAAGTTATAAAATCAGTGTCATCTGGAATAGTGGAAATTTTCGAGCTAAGCCACTGAAGTAGGTACTATATAAGTCTATGAGCTAAGCGGACGTCTTAAAGTGAATGAAAATGACGTTCAAAGATTCCTTTACATACAGATATTAAAAAAATACGTCGAAATCAGCACAATTCAGTCATGCTTAAAATTTAAACTCAATAAAAATATTTTAGTTAGCAACTGTTAACTTAACCTCATGAGACAGTAGACAAAACCGTGAATCTGATATAATAAAGGTCATATTGCCATAACAAAACGCTGCTAATAATCACAGTGACTCAGCCAAAACATAATATAAAGATGATGTAAATCTATAAATCTACTATTATTAGTTCGAAAAATATTATAACAATACGGATGGCTGTCTTTCGGTGTAAGTAAAATCTATATATATGTATATATGTATCTATCTAACTATGTATATGTATATGTATTTGTGATTTTGTATATATATATATATACTTTTTTTGTAGGTATTCGTAACTTAATATAAATTTCATTGACCCTACCACTATTTACACTGCACTACCTTTGGTTGACTGGTAGAGAATACCTTAGGCATTAAGTCCGCCAATGTAAATTTTACATGAAGTGTAAATAAATAAATAAAAACATCGGTAGTTGGATGTAAATTTTGCAAAACCGAATGTATAATAAATATTATATAGTACAGCTACTCTGTAAGTATGCAATTTCGAATCATGAAACGAATTAGTCAAATTAAAGCCTGTCCCTGCTTTGGTCATACGATCCGCCAGTGATTATAGTATGTCCGCTATTCGTTAGGAGCATTAGGTGGTTACCACTGAAGTACTTTAATGGTTACTGACATCCGATCCGTCGCGTTCTCGTTAAATTCATATTCGACGAGTTACAACCTAGCTCATAGACACAACGCACTGTGTTTTTTTTTATTGCTTATAAGGGTGGACAAGCTCACGGCCCACGGTATAGA